TCAAGTGTGCTCAAGACGGAAGCTGGCCTCTCTGGCAGAGGCTTGCCCCGAGAGCTCAGAGCCACACACACACACAGTGGCTCTCGCTGCCCCCTGCAGGGACTCCTGGACGCCCTGCCCAGTGTCCCCGGGAGACCTGCGCTCGTGGCCTCCTCCCGAGTGCTGCGGCTTCTCTGGCGCCCACTGGCCGAGGACAGCAGCACCTGGCACTGACCGAGCCCTGGCAGAGCCGGAGTCAGGAGAGAAAACAGCCTTCGCCGCAGGGGAAGTGACCCCAGGAGGAAAAACCGCGTTTGCCACTTCATAACGGATGGAGCGCCACCCGCCCCGCCCGCCACCGCGTTCTCAGGGGAATCGGGCAGAACCGCGACGCGTCTCTGAGGACGGGATGGAAAACGCGTGTCAGTGGAGCCAGGATCTGGCCATTTGTGGACATTATTCATTTCACCAGCTGCATCAACTGCACAGATGAGTCATCCCCCCCGTGGAGATCCGCCAGGTCCCTAAACACTGGCCCCAACGTGAAAGGTACAACTCGGGGCTCGGAATGAACTTTCAGACGCGGGGACTGCGACCGACAGGTGGACACAGGTGGACCAGCTCTGTCTCCTGTTCCCTTCTGGGGTCTTACGTGGGGTCAGAAGGCAGACTCCACGAGGAGGCGCTCAGCGTGGACAGAGCCGAGCCCAGCTCACGAGGGGCCAGTCCGCTCGCGGCCAGAGTTGGTGCCGCCTCTCTTTCTGTTTTTGGTCCGCGAGATTGAACCCGGGCACTAAAGCACGGAGCCACGTCCCCAGCCCTTTGTATTTTTTATTGTGAGACAGGGTCTTGCTGAGTGGCTGAGGCCGGCTTCGAACTTGTCTCCAAGTTCAAAGCTGCTGGGATCACATCGGGGGCCACCGCGGACGGCTCAAGGTGGACTTTGATACTTTCGTTTATTTTTGTTCATGACCAGTCGTTGGCTGGTGGCCTCAACCGTCACCCCTGGTGAACCACCCACAGAGCAGAAGCCCACTCAGGTGCAGAAACATGACCCCCGCCCGCCGCCGCCATCGGGAGTCTTGCCTGTCCACGTGAGGTCCACCGCTTTCAGTGGGTTGGAAACTTTGCATCAAGAACCATTTTTTGAAGAATCTATTCAAGACTCTGCTGGACCCCAATCCTCTCTGCCTCCTCTCCCGTTGGCTTTGAGGGTTTCTGCCCACTCTCCCGGGGGGCACATGTCACAGGCCATGCAGGGGCACGACCCACCATCAACAGGCCCAGCCCAGAGGTGGAGAAGCGGAGCCCAGGGTCCACCCTTGACCGACGGAGGACGGGAGCTGGTGGGTGCCTTGCTCACTCTCCTCCTGTCAGAGGCTTTTCCCAGGGTCCCCCCTGGCCCGCTGGGTGACACCTGCTCACGTTGGCCCCCACCTCCGCTCCCTGGCTCACCGCGCCCCCCCTGCCAGCGCGGCTGCTTTGGAGAGAACCCAGGCAGAGCTATTTGAGTTATTTCAAGAAAAATACTTAATTATTACTTCTAACAACATTTTAATTTCCTACCCACAGAAATTAAATTTTAATATTTCATTACTATTGTAGCCGTTAAGCTTCTCTGTCTGACGATGACAGCGGCTGGAACTTTGCCTGCAGTGATTAAACAGCGCATCTCGGTACGAAGCGTGAGGGGCAGGAGAGGGGAGCCAAGAGAAATGGACGTTGGGGCTTCCAGTCCTGCCCTGCCCCTTCCTGTGTGTCCTTGGGCTAGTTGCTTTACTTCTCTGAGTCACTCGGACTCATTTGTGAAATTATCTTAATAAAGCTAGAAATTAACAGCAATTTAAAAAAAAAACTTTCATCTAGAAACTTAAGAACTCTTAAGTAAATAAGGAAATAAAAAACAAAACTCAGAATGTCTTGAAAACGATGAAGACGCATCCAGATGGGTGTTGTGGAGAGAGAGAACCCAGAGGAAGATACAACATCCAATCCCTGCATCCGAAGAAAATGGCGCATCCTTTGAAATGCACCAACACTTGCTCAGGGGCCTAGCGTTCTGTCAATTTTTGCCAAAGCTCACGTACATTTGAAAGGACTGTGTGTGTTGCATTTGGAGACAGAGTTCTATAAATGTTCACATTAATAAAATCTCTGATGTTCTTAATACTATTTTTTTTGCCACGGAGCTACATCTCTGGGCCTTTTTATTCTTATTTTATTTTTTTAATTTTCAGACAGGGTCTCACTAAGTTGCTGAGGCTGGCCTCAAACTTGAGAGCCTCCTGCCTCAGCCTCCTGAGCTCTGGGGTCGCAGGTGTGGGCTGCCGCACCCTGGCGGTAATTGACAGAACCGCACTCTCTCCCGTTGGCTCGGGCTGGCGTGGGACATTCTCCTCCACCTTTTCACTGTCAGTATTTTGGCATCGTATATTTTAGGTGTGTGTCTCGTTAGCGGTACGTGGGACTGTTGTGTTTTGTGTTTTTTTTTAATCCAGTCTGACGGCCTCGTCTTTCTGCAGGTGAACTCCACGTTGCACATCTGACACTGTCACTAGTAACCTCGTGCTGAGGTCCTCTGACTTAGTGAGGTTTTCAATATGCCCCACCAGCCCTGTGGCATTTCTCTCCCTGTCACTTCTTCCTTTTGGGGTTAAAATTCTAAAAAAAAGAAAAAAAAATCATTCCACCTCCACTCCCTGCAGAGTCATTGTCGGGGCCCTGGTGACTGTCCTCGCTCCCTGCGTACTAGAAGCACTAACTGGGCCTCTTTTCTCTTGCTGTCTGTCCGGTCCTCACCTAGTGTGATTCTGCACCTGTCGTGACGTATCTTTCGACCCCAGTCACGCACCGGGGTTGATTCCTTTAGATCCACCCACGGACTTGGCTTTTGGTTGTTGACGCTGCGGCCCGTTCCATCCCGTATCCCTGAACTTTCCTCCAGGGTCATTTTCCTTCTGCCTAAAGTTTTCTCCTTCTTATTCCCTTCATTTAACCTGAAAGTGTCTTCATTTTGCTTTCATTTTTGAGACTTATTCTCTCAGCATCTGGAGTAGAACTGAGCACCATCCCTGTCTAAATCCCTTTTTTTGGCAGGACAAGTCCAATCCCAAAATCCACAAGGAATTTCCAAGGACCCAGAATAGCCAAAGCAATCTTTAAAAGAAGAGCAGAGAGGAGTCGCCCTTCTTGATTTCAAAACTACAGAACTGAGCCAGGTGCAGGGGCACACGCCTGTCATCCCGGCAGTTTGGGAGGCTGAGGCAGGAGGATCACAAGTTCAAAGCCAGCCTCAGCAACTTAGCAAGACTCTGTCTCAAAATAAAAAGTAAAAAGGACTGGGGATGTGGCTCAGTGGTGAAGAGCCCTTGGGTTAATCCCTGGTGCAAAAACAAACAAACAAACTACAAAACTAAAGGAATGAAGACGGTGTGCTACCAGCACACAGTAGGCACACAGACCAATGGAATCCACTTGACAGCTTAGAAATAAAACATACTTCTACTGCCCATCGATTTTCAACAAGGGCACCAAGCCAATATTCAACAGGGGAAACACAAGTCTTTCCTTTCTTTATTTTTTATTTTAATTTTATTTTTGGTACCAGGAATTGAACCCAGGAGCACTCAACCACTGAGCCAGATCCCCAGCCCTTTTTAAAAATTTATCCATTTTATTTAGAGACAGGGTCTTGTTGAGTTGCTTAGAGCCTCACCAAGTTGCTGAGGCTGGCTTTGAATTTACAGTCCTCCTGCCTCAGCCTCCCAAGCCCCTGGGATTACAAGCGTGCGCCACTGTGCCTGCCCTCAAGTCTACATTTTAATAATTTCTAGTTAGATTTCTTCCTGCATATTTTTTAGATTATGGAGATTTATTTTTCTACATGATTTAAAATAAACTTCTAAATTAACTATACCATGTTTGGAGAATAAGATCTGAATTACATCATTTCCGAGCAATTTATCAGACTTATCTGTAATCTAATAGTCGATCAATTTTTAAAGGATGTCCTATAGGTACTTCATATGCTTGGGAAGGGTGTACAGAATTCAATAATTGAGGGGGATGTGTACGTGTGTATGTGTGTGTATGTGCATGTGTGTCATCTTCTTAATCATATTATTCAAAGTTTCAGTCACCCTTAATTTTTTTGGCCACTTGGCAAAATAAATAAATGTATTCATTTAAAAACTCTTTATTTTAGCTGGGCACAGGGGGGCAGGCCTGTAATCCCAGCAGCTTGGAAGGCTGAGGCAGGAGGATCACGAGTTCAAAGCCAGCCTCAGCCAAAGCAAGGCACTGAGCAACTTGGTGAGCCCCTGTCTCTAGATGAAACACAACACAGGGCTGGGGATGTGGCTGAGCGGCTGAGTGCCCCTGAGTCAATCCTGGTACCCTATCCCACCCCCCCCTCCAAAACAAACCCTCTTTATCAGCTTGGGTTAGAGAAGGGACACTATATTTCATTCCTTATGTAGTCAGTCCCTTTGATTAAAACCACAGGATGAAGTACAGCCAGCCCTCCACGGCCAGGGTTCCCACGTCCACGGCTTCCACGGCTTTGGGGGAAACGTGTGTGTGCAGGGGACATGTGGAGACCTCTCCTGCCATCACCCCTGAGCCGCACGGTGTGACGCTGCTCACAGAGCACACCTGCTGTCGGAAGGGTGGCAGGCCACGCAGGGGACGTGCAGACCCCGCGACTCTAGAAGGGAGGGAGCATCCCCGGGTGGACTCCAGGGACGTGAGGGACGGCTGTCCCCGTACACGAGGCCTCTAGCTCTTCCATTCTCAAACCAGGTGGCTGCGCTTTCCGCAGGCGTCCCGGGGCCTGGGCCCGGATGGGACCCCGAGGGCAGAGATGCTGG